CAGGAGGCTGAGGCAGAGAATTGCTTTAGGCATGGGTTAGAGACCAACCTGGGCAACACAGCGAGATACTATCTCTACAAAAAAATGTTTAAAAATTAAGCCAGGCTCGGTGGCTCAGCCTGTAATCCCGCGCCTTTGGGAGGCTGAGGTGAGTGGATTGCCTGAGCCTGTGGGTTCGAGACCTGACTGGGCAGGCGAGACCTTGTCTCCACAATAAATCAAAAAAATTAGCCGGGTGTGATAGTGCGTGCCTGTAATTCCGGCTACTTGGAAGGCTGAGGTGGAAGGATCGCCAGAGCCCAGCAGGTCGAGGCTGTGGTGGCCGGGAGCAGCCACTGCACTTCAGTCTGGGCGACAGAGTGAGTGAGACTCCAACTCAAAATAAATTTAAAAAAAAAAATTAACTGAGTGTGGTGGTGCATGCCTGTAGTCCCAGCCACTCAGGAGACTGAGGCAGGAGGGTTATGTAAACCCAGGGGTTTAAGGTTGCAGTGAACTATGCTTATGCCACTCTACTTCAGCCTGGATGACAGAGCAAGACCTTGTCTTATTTTTTTTTTTTTAAGTATTTTAGACTGTGCAGGGGAAGAGAGTTGGCACCCCAACCCAGTGTTGTTTAAGGGTATATATATAACATTTACAATACTAATCACTTTTAAGTATATAGTTTAGTAGTGCTAAGTACATTCATTTTGTTTGTAATTGATCTCCAGTACTCTTTTCATCTTGCCTGATTTACTTTTAATTTGAAAGTTGTACATGGTCCTCAACTATTTTGCCTTTAATGCCATGCCTTGTAGTTTCCCCTTTCTTGCAGGAGTAGTTGAAATAAATCTCCTGGTCAGAGTAGGGGGTGGGGGATATGGATAAGGTTATTTTATAACTTATGAAACTTAGTGATACTTATTTTCTTTTCATGTCTATACGCTTCTGTGTGTGCATTGCAAACAAAACCTGATGGTGTTCTATTGGGGATGTCAGAGCTTAGTTTCTTTATAGTCTGTTACTGAGTCATTTCTGTAGAGGGTGAACATTAGGTGTTAGACAGAGTTGGTTTATTGAGACTGGTTAGTGCCAGCATGCTCTGGCTGTTGCCTGTATTTACAGTGTGAATGAGTGTGTGGTTGATTCAGATTTCTTCCCAAGATAAATTAAATCTGGAAATAAATTAAATCACAGTTAAATCAGGAAAGAAATTCCTGCATAGTATAGAGTGGCAAAATAGTCAGTTTTGGCACTTTTGCTTTGCTTTCTTGTTGCCTTACAAAAGGTCTATCCAGCCAGGTGTGGTGGCTCACGCCTGTAATCCCAGCACTTTGGGAGGCAGAGACTAGAGAATTGCCTGAGGCCAGGGCTTCAAGACCAGCCTGGGCAACTTGGCGAGACCTTGTCTCTACAATAAATTTTAAAAATTAGCCAGGTGTGGTGGTGCGCACCTGTGGTTCTGGCTGGCTGAGGTAGAAAGATCGCCCGAGCCCAGCAGGCCGTGGCTGCAGTGGTTGTGAGTGTGCCACTGCACTCACACTCCAGCCTGGGCAACAGTGTGAGACTCTGAATCAAGACAAAAAAAGATCTATCTAAGGCTGCAAAACTGCTTCAAACTCCAGTGTTCTCTGGAGATACGCTATAAATATCCTTTCTAGGGGGTGTAAGATGTGAAGTTAACATTTGCTAAATCGGATTTCTATATGATCTAATTTTAGCATGAAAGATGTGAAACTCTATTTGGCAAACTATTATCCAAATAAAGTTATGTCAAAAAAATGGATTTCTTAGGTTCATTTCATGAACTAATTTTATTCAACTCTTGATTACATTTCCTGTGTGTAGAGCATGTTTCACACTTGGTAACTGACTCTCATTTAAAGAGAATGAATGGCCAAATTAAATGAATGTCCTTTTGAGCACTTTTCAAGTGCTTGCGTTTCTGATTGGTTTTGTTTGCCTTATTCAATGGAGAGAATAATTCTTTGTGGCCAATTTCATTTTAAGAGAGCAATGTTGAGTGATTTTTCATAATTTAAAAATATGAGTAATTATGCTCCCTTGTTTGTATTTGATGGAAACTTAGAACTGAAATCTTGGCTTTCTTCTCTCTCTGGTTGTGCACACTGCTGCCCAGAATGCTTTGAACAGGTGTTCTGTGATGAATTTTATGTAAACCAAATTTTCTTTTCTGACTTTTAAAAATGACTATTGTGTCTTTATGAAGCAATGAAAAAAAATGGGAATTAAGTTAAAAAGGGACTATAGTATTTTTCCTTTGCTCATATGAAGCAATGCAGGAAAGAAAACCCTCAAATAATTCTTGATCCATGTTACTAATATTGGTAAAATTTCCAAAAACTCAGTCATTTGAAGTTTAATTGAATATTTTTCTATTATCTGAACCTTTTATTTCTTCAGTGCGAGCTTATGTTTTATGAAATCAGCAGATGTGCTAACAGTGTCCTAAATGATATTGAAGGATATTGTACTGAGAACAGGAAGTAGCAATTCTTCCATCTCCACAGAACAAGAAGTAGGTTTAGATTATATTTTGGTGAACATAAACATAATTCCCTAGTATTAGGGGCATTAAGACATAAAGCTTTATAGCTGATATTTCTTAAAATAACTATACTTAATATTTTAGTATATATGCTATGTCGCTGGCATTATATTAAGCAATTTACATACCTTATTTAATTCTTAATAAGTCCTGAGAGGCAGAAACTATTATTTCCCCATTTTTTAGATGAAGAAACTGAGGCTCAGAAAAGCTAAATAACTTTCTACGATTATACGGCGAATAGGAAGGAGACCATAGTTGCAAGCCGGACCACCTGACTAGAAGGCCTCTGCTCTTAACCACTGTATGATGGGAGGAGGCTAGCCCAGTGCTGTTCGTTATATGGAACACCATGGATGGTAACTCAGTCACAGATAGTAGAAGATAATGAGAGTAGAAGCACAAGCAATGGAGCTGCCAACATCATGATTTAGTTCAAGAAGTCAGATAGTCAGGATGTGCCTCTGATTGTTTCAGACTTTCCACTAGGTTATGAATTCCCAAGAAGGGTGGTGTTTCATATGTGGATTATTTATAACAAAATAGTCAAAGTTCTATATTTTATTGATAGCCAAGAGTTTTCTATATTGTGTGGAAACCTCAAAAATCAGCAGGAAAGACTTTAAGACCCATATACATAAACGGGGAAAACAAGACAGTACAAATGCAATCAATGAATATAGAAAACTTGCCTGGGCAGCGAGACCTCATCTCTACACTAAATCAAAAAATCAGCCGGGCGTGGTAGTGCATGCCTGTAATTCTGGCTACTTGGAAGGCTGAGGCGGAAGGATCACCGGAGCCCAGCAGGTTGAGGCTGCAGTGGCCGGGAGCAGCCACTGCACTCCAGTCTGGGCGACAGAGTGAGACTCCAACTCAAAAAAAAAAAAAAGAAAACTCAGTTTTGTAACTAGTCAAATGCAAATTTAAATCATAGTATGGTATGAATTTTTCCTAGTGCATCTCTAGAGCCCTCATCTCTACAATAAATAAAAAAATTAGCTGGCTGTTGTGACAAACACGTGTAGTTCCAGCTACTTGGAAGGCTGAGGCGGAAGGATCATCTAAGTCCGGCAGGTCAAGGCTGCTGTGGCCATGAGCATGGTACTGCAACAGGAAGTTAGCAAAAATTTATAAAATGTCAATACCCAGAGCTGGTACTCATTCATTGCTGATGGCATTTTTAAAAAATTTTCAGTAGCTTTGGAGGGTACAAATAGTTTTGGTCTGGGCCTTAAGTGCACCCATTATTCCCAACTGGATACCTTGTACCGGATAAGTGATTTTTTTTGTTCCTCCTCCTCTTCGCCCCTCTGCCTTCTGAGTCAACAGTGTCCTTTTTTCCATGCTCTATGTCTTTGCAGAGCCTTAGTTTAGCTTCCACTTATAAGTGAGAACATGTGGTGTTTGGTTTTCTGTTCCTGAGTTAATTCACTTAGGGTGATGTTCTCCAGTTCTATCCAAGTTGCTGCCAAAGACATTATTTCATTTTTCTTGGTGGTTGAATAGTATTCTACAGTGTGTATGTACCACATTTTCATTAGCTGATGGCATGTTAAAGTAGTATGTTAGAAAAACAAAATCAATCAGTAAAATATTCCTTTTTCCTGACACTAATTCATTAAATATGAAATGCACATATTTCTTTTTCGTTTATATTGAGAAGCATATTTTATTAAACTATTTTGCATTAGATAAGAAAAACTTTGTATTAAATGTTTTTTGTTAACTGCTGAAGAAAATAATTAACAGCTGTTGAGCAGAAATGTTGATTTAGTATTTTCCCTAAAATTATTAACCATTGCCAGGCACGGTGGTTCATCCCTGTAATCCTAGCACTTTGAGAGACAGAGGCGAGAGGATTGCCTGAGTCCAGGCGTTCAAGACCAACCTGGGCAACTTGACAAGCCCTCATCTCTACAATAAATAAAAAAATTAGCTGGCTGTGGTGACAAACACCTGTAGCTCCAGCTACTTGGAAGGCTGAGGCAGAAGGATCATCTGAGTCCGGCAGGTCAAGGATGCTGTGGCCATGAGTATGGCACTGCAACAGAGTGAGACTACTACTAAAAAAAAAAAGATTATTAACCATGAGGGATGCATTTGAATTGCCAGCCCATCGGAAGTTTAAATTGCATAATAATCTGTCAGTAACCCAATTGTTTATGTTCATCTTCTGCCCATAGGAACATACAAGTATGTGTTTTACATGTGAATATTCTGTAACTTTGCTACTGGTTTATCAAATTTGTGAAGATAATTTAAGTTTGTTATTTATTCATTGGTACAGATTCCCTGAAATTTTGGGGAAGTATTATTTAAAAAAACTAAATAATGATGAAATTTATTTTATGAAATGTGTGATTTCATTGTTTTAAAATTTAGTTTATATTTATTTACTGTAATGCTGTGATTGGGCAAGTAACTCCCATAATAAATTATTTTACAGGTATTCACAGTTTTATATGGAAGATAGCTTTTGCCATTATAACATGTTTAACCATCATTTCTTTGATGGAAAGGTAAGAATGATGACCATTATCTCTTTCTTCTCTTATTGTGGAATAGCAAATGCCAGAGTACCTTCTTTGTTATTTTCTTAAAATTTCTCCAAGATCAAATTGTGTCTGTTCTGCCACTTATTGGTGTTTATTTTTGTTCATTCACTGTTCATTGAGCATTTTGAAGTGATTTTGTTATTCCCTGTTTATGACTTTTCCCAGCTTTTTGGGTGAAAGCCCTTACTAGGGCCCATGGGGCCCTGTGTGGTCTGCCCCTGTTACGTCTCCATCTCTCCTTTCCCTGCTCTTCCCTCTGCCATCTGTGTTAGGGCACAGAGCTTTCATCTCGAGGGTCAGATGTCTTTCTACCACGGGAAAGTCTGTTCTACTGGCTTCTGTTCTCCCTTTGCCGTGATGACTTTTCCTGTATCAGAACTTTGCTCCAAGTCACGTCTTCTAGCCTCTCCTGAGTCCACCCTTCACCCCGCACCCTTCAGTAGGGTCAAGTTCTCCATTGTGGACTTACCACACTGTAATTAAATACATGTGTTGGGGCAGGACATATGTGGGAACTCTCTATAGCTTCTTCTCACTTTTGCTGTGACCCAAAACTGCTCTTAAAAAAAGGTTTGTTTTTTTAAAAAAAGACAGTGACTTTAAGTCTAATGTTAATAATGTCTGATGTTAATAATGTCACTGAGAATAAACAACATAGCACAGCTGATAGTTTACCTAGTTTGAGCTCACTGTCAGCCCTATTATAAAACAAAATCTATATAACCAATCAAGTAATCACACTGACAGGAGGTTGGCAAAAAATGTTTTGAAATTATCACAAGCTGGGCTCGGTGGCTTAGCCTGTAATCCCACGCCTTTGGGAGGCTGAGGTGAGTGGATTGCCTGAGCCTGCAGGTTCGAGACCCGCCTGGGCAGCGAGACCTCATCTCTACAATAAATTTAAAAAAATCAGCCGGGCGTGGTAGCGCATGCCTGTAATTCGGCTACTTGGAAGGCTGAGGCAGAAGGATCGCCGGCGCTCAGCAGGTCGAGGCTGCGGTGGCTGGAAGCGGCCACTGCACTCCAGTCTGGGCGATAGAGTGAGACTCCAACTCAAAAAAAAAAAATCACAAAGACCACTTGAAGCCTACCATAGATACGTACATATATATCAGTTTTTTAAAAAATTGTGAACCATGCTTAACTTTCTATTGTGCTTTGAGATGTTAACTAATGATAGAATGAAAGCCAAGCAAGTCTGAAAAAGTCAGCATTTGGGAAATGAAAACAAACACTAAATTGTGGAATTTAGTATTTGGAATTGAAACATGAGTCCCCTGATTTAGTAAGTATAGCACTCCTTACATTTATTTTTTATTTTTTTATTTTTTTTGAGTTGGAGTCTCACTCTGTCACCCAGACTGGAGTGCAATGGCCACTCCCGGCCACCGCAGCCTCGACCTGCTGGGCTCTGGCGATCCTTCCGCCTCAGCCTTCCAAGTAGCTGGAACTATAGGTGTGCACTACCACGCCCGGCTAATTTTTGATTTGTTGTAGAGATGAGGTCTCGTCAAGTTGCCCAGGCGGATCTCGAACCTGCGGGCTCAGGCAATCCACTCACCTCGGCCTCCCAAATTGCTGGGATTACAGGCTGAGCCACCGAGCCCGGCACTCCTTCCACTTAAATCAGTAGAGCATTGGGATATTTATTTCTCAACTATAATAGCCATCAAAAGCACATATTGAAACATAGAGCAGTTAGAATCAGACTAATCTCACTGCTCTCCGAAGAGTTTATGTGGTTGGTAACCACTAGGATTTGAGAGCTGATTAGATGAGCGTGAAGGAGAGCGGGAATGAAAGTCACTTGACAGTGGATGATGTGGGACTTCTCAGCTAGGACAGTGGCAGTGGGAGGAAGAGAGGAAGGAACTGGCTTCTGTAGGCATTTCACAGAGGGAGACAAGAGATGAGAAGGAGGCATGGGGGGGGCAGAGCTGACTAGGGGATGTTGCCTGGATGTGTACTTCATTCCTTAATTTAGAGGGCAGGGGGGTTTGGACATGAAGTTTGGAAATGTTGAGTGTGTGGGACTGGTGGGATATTGATGTGGGGTGTCCAGCTGAAACCACGGGGCCTTGACCACAGGGGTGAGGAGATCAGGGCTGTGACGTATGAGATGAGTTTTTATCACTGCTTGATGCCACAATAATGAGTTATGGTTTTTGTTATTGTTTGTTTTAAATATCATATCATGATTTTTATGTATTTATTTTTTAGAAAGCAGGATTTATTGAGAGGACAGAAAAGCTCCCACAGTGGGAGGGGACCCGAAGGGGTTGCCCGATTTTGTTTTTCATTATGAACAATAAAGACAAAATAAGCATACGATTTCACTTAAATACCTAATGATTGGCTAGCAACTACATATAGTTTTAAAAGAAACATGTAATTAGCCTTTTTCTAGGAGATTCTGTGTGATTTACCACTGAAAGTTTGTAGCATTACCTTGTCAGTTTCTAGAATAACGATTGGAGTAAGTGGTCAAAATAGAGCTCCACTTTTTCTTTCCCTGAAGAATACAACATCCCGCTCAGGCTCTCCTCTGTGTTTCAGCAGCAGCCTTAACTAGCACTGCCGCTGTGGAGACTGAGCTGCAGAAAACCATTGTCTTTATAGTCAAGTGTTGCAGTAGAGATTTACCATCCACTAATCAATCACTAAGTATTTAAGTGCTTGTCAGGCTGCCCAGAGTGTTCAGGAGAACAGAGGACTCTGCCACTGTGCGTAAGCACTTGACAGTGCGCTAAGTTAAAAGCAGGCATGCTCCACACAGTATTTTCTCATTACAAATCCTGTAGTCTTTGAGGTATTACAGATTGTCATGAGCCTCAGTGTAAAGGGGTTAAGCATGCTCAGAGGATGACTCATAATTGAAACGCCTGGCACTTTTTTAGTGGTAACTAAGATGAAGAGAGAAGTTACTGTCAACATGAGTGACTTTAATGTTTTTGAAATTGGGTTAGGAGTTTAGGCATTGTTTACTTGTCTATTTTCTTTTTCTATTTTTAACATGAAGGAATTTGAAGGTTTTCGGTATCATCGTCTGTGCCTTAAGTCCTAGTTCATGTAAGTGGGTTAAGCAGCCAGGTAGCACTTGAAAAATGATGAACCATCTTGACACGCCAGAGGTGGTCCCATAGGAAGTTAATAAAAACTCTCCTAGGGAAAAAGAATTGGAGTGGTGTAGGTTATTTCTCTCATCAACGGGTCTTCTAAATTGATTTAGTAGTAGAACAAAATGTATTTTATCATAAAGAACATGTAGGTTTCTTAAAGTTTAAAATGCCATTAAGCTTTAAACTCTCGTGCCATTTTGTATACTGTAAGTGTTGATTTACTTTTATAGATGAGTACAATGGGCTCTCCCCCTCTGTGGGCTCCACATCTGTGGATTTAACCAATCGCAGATAAAAAAAATTTTTTTTTTTT